GGAGCAGACACGGTCAAGTTTGTCAACGTTCCCATGGACGTCGTCTACAAGTACTACTTTCGAGCCAAGCGCAGTGTGGCAGGTTTGCCCACATCACAGCGCATGCAATGGCTCCAGGCCAAAGATGTGGAAGAACGCAGTGAATGGGTGTCCAAATTCCGTGAATCCACAATGAGCTTGGGCCAAGTGATCAGCGAGGTCTATACATCCAGGGATGCACATTGGTCTGCACCAGGGCCAGCTACCCCGGACAAGAAGAGTGCAGCCCCCACCGCAGCTTCCACCGCAAGTCCATCTAAAGTGCCGCCAAGTTCATCACCACTGAAATTGGGAAAGCCGATCAACGGCAAACCTGTGGCGACGGCCATGAAAGATGGCACCAAACTTTGTCCACAATTTCAACGAGGAGGCTGCAAGGCCAAACCCTGTCCTCAAGGAGCCCATCGATGCGGAGCAGTTGTCAGGAAAGACCGGGTGTGTGGAGCCTTCAACCATGGTGCAGCCAACTGCACCGGCAAGTGTTGACACACCCCAGAAGAGGAGGCGGCTGCCTCCTTTGGGTCGAATGAGCTAGAGCCGCAAGAGGGGCGACCTCTTATGGCAGATCTCATGGCAGGTCCCAACGCACCCCTCACCAAAGCATTCATCAGTTGTGGATGGCGATGCATAACAGTGGATTGGCTGTTGGATGACAGCCACGACCTATCTGATGAGCGCCGGCAACATTCCTTGAGCAAGCAGCTTGAAGAGGTGATCTTCATAGCGGCAGCCATCGATTGCTCTACGAAGAGCAGGGCAAGGGAGATTCCCAGGAAGTTCGAAGATGGGCGGCCAGCCCCTGGCCCTCTTCGATCAGAGGTATATCCTGATGGCCTGCCCCACCTCAATAGCCGGGATGCTCAAAGAGTCGACCTTGACAACAAAGCCTGCAACTACGTCTTGGGAGAGATTCAGAAGTTGCGGGATCGGGGGGGAGGCAGTGTGCGTGAAAACCCTGCCCGTTCCCTGCACTGGTGGACGTCCACTGAGGTGACCATGTGGGAATCGGGACAATGGTTCGACACAGCCTATGCGGCATGTACCTTAGGCGGGGCGCGTTGCAAACATCAAGTGTTACGACACAATGTGGAGGAGATTCAGCGCTGGCCCCCGGCCAATTGCCACCATGTGCACGACCCGCAAGAATGGACCCCCTACACATCTGGCGGCCAAAGGTTCTATCCATCTAAAGAAGAGGCGGAGTACACAGCAGTCCTTGCCTTTGCCATCGCAGTGTCGGCTAGCTGGTGGGCAGTCCGCACAGGTTTAGCCGTGCTGCATGTCCCACGCATGCCCACTTTCTTGTCAGTTGGGCGTCGTGAGCACTGGCTGGATATGGACCCGCGCGCAATGCGGGAATGGGCAATGGCACCATTGGCAGTGACGCTGGGCCTTACAGAGTCCCTGCGAGCCGAACGGCCGGGGTTACCGGTCAGGAAGCTCGTCAAGGATTATGATCGAGAACAACAAACTGCCACGCAAGACCATTTACGTCGGCCGTGGCAGCTTCCATCATCGCCTGTCGACAACCAAGTGGAAATCTCCATGGACACCAGGCCACAACTGCGAGGCCGGTGAGTGGCCAGCCAGGTACATTGTCCACATCCGGACATCACCCTTGTGGGATGCCTTGCATGAGCTCAGCGGCATGGTGCTGGCGTGCGACTGCCCCATGGAGCACTTGTGCGAAGCCGATATGCTCATCGGACTCTTCTTCGATGCAACTGCACCTGGGGGCGACCCGATGCAGAGGGGTACCGATGGCAGATGGAGCCGGACCGTGGCATTGCTGCAGGGGATTCAGGCTATTCCCAAAGGTGTAGCCCTACCCATGATGAGCCAAGAAGCCCTGGTGTTAGCCTTCCAGAAGCTTTTCCCCGAGCAATGGTTCAAGAACTACAAGTTCGCGATGGTTGAAGACCTCATCAACAGCCCACCTTTCTGTTCCTACGCTGCTTGGCTAGCAGAGCGAGGAGAAGCTTGGGATGGCCCCCTAGTCCCGCACCTTGCTGCTGGGTCAGTGAGACAGCTTGCGCGGATTGGGGATGGGTGCCAAGTTGGCGCGATGACACACCGCGCAGCCTTGCCACCGCTGCTACCATTCAACTTGGACCCCGATGACCACTTCAACCAAGCAGTACAACGAGCCCAGCAACCATTGCCCTACGAAGATCTCCCAGTCGTTGACTTGGATCTGGAGTTCGTAGCTGATGCCTATGCAGCACATGGCCAACCATTGCGCCCGTGGCGACAGCATGCAGTAGGTGCCATGCGCGAGCTGAAGAGACGTTGGGAGGGGGTGACCCTCCACTTGCGGTCTTTTCAAGAGCCTGCCATACAGCAGGTTACACGGCATCGCGATGTGGGGTTCATCGCACTGTTGATGCTGCTGACATCATGGGCCGACACCAGTTTTCCCTATGGCCTGATCCGTGGTTTGCCAGCAGTGGGGTATGCACCACCCTATGGGATCTTCCCCCAACAACCGGCTGAGGTGATCAGCATGTCCGAAGTGCTAGATGGATGGCAAGAACACAACCAGCACATCTTAAACCAACTGAGAGCAGGTAAGGATGATGAGTTCCTCCTGCAACAGTCGTTGGAGGATGCAGCGAATGGCTTCTGCACAGCACCCTTGAGGCGGCCAGATTTCCTGCGGTCCATTGGCAACAAGGCACATAGATTGATTCCACGTTGCGTGATCACGCAAAGCTCTGGCAAGCAGCGAGTGATCGACAATGGTGACACTGGAGGACAATCAGCCTTGTCATCCGATGCCAACAAGCTCACATTGTGCAGCCCATTGCGCCCTGCCCAACACATTCGCCTGGCCATGCATCGTTGGACAGATGAAGAAATCTCAAACTTCTTTGCATGCGACGCCTGAGAGACAGGACAGGAAGATCTGCCTTCAGCACACAGGTATTGCCCTATGGCATTGCAGGAAAGCCTGGGATGTGTGGTGGTGTGGTACCATCACGAGTGGCAAACCCCAGCATACCAGATCTATGCTGGGCTGCTCTTTGGGCTTCCGCTAGCAGTTACCTCTTTTAACAGATTTTCCAGACTGTTGGAGGCGCTAGCCAGGCGCTTTTGCCGAGTCTTGACATCCCTGTACTTTGATGACGCAACCATCACAGACTTGCGCTCTTCAAAAGGGTCTGGCCAATGGGCCATGAATCAGTTGTGTTCCTTGATCGGCTCCCCCTTCGCCGAGGACAAGAAGCAATCAATGCAGAGCACAGGAACCTTTTTGGGGCTGACCCATGATCTCAGCTCCATCAACCAAACAGGACATGTGCGCTTTTGGGCTCGAGAACGGCTCCATGACAAAGTACGTGATATGTTGGCAACGGCCAGGGTGACTGGCCACTTCAGGCGAGGGGCAGCATCGAAGCTGTACGGCCTAGCCAATTTCCTGGAGCAGGGCATCTATGGTCGAGTGGGATATGGTGGTCTTATGGCGATCAAAGCCAGGCAAGACGAGCCCACCTCAACCATAACCCCGGAGATTGAAGCATGCTTCGAGGTGATCGAAGCAGTCATGCGCTTTCAATTTCCCGTTCTGCACCTGGATCATCTGCGCTTCCTTGCAGCCTCCGACGCAGCTGTCGAAGCAGACAATCCTGGTTCAGGAGGTTTTCACCTGATCTTTTTCCAGCCAGACGGATCACAAATTCGTCACAGTTTTGTCGCCACCAATTGTGCAGAGCTGCAAGCACTTTGGCAACCTGCAGAGACGCACATCGCCCAATTGGAACTTTCAATGGTGCTCTACGCCCTAGTCGAAAGGCCTGACCTGTTTCGAAACCGACACGGCCTCTGGTTTTTGGACAACGTGGCAGCCGTCATGACGCTAGTGAGAGGACGTTCTAGCAATGCCGACTTAGCGAAGCTAGGTCATTTGATTCATCTAGCTCTGTTTGCACTGCGAGCCCAAGGGTATTGGGAGTACGTCCAGAGCAAGAGCAACTGGGCTGACGACATCAGCCGACTTGGCGTCAACGATCCATGGTGGCGAAGCCATGGTTTTGTTTTTCATTCGTCGTACCTCCCTACAATCTTTTTCCAGCTACCTTTTGCTGCTGTCATTCTCACCTTCGAATACCTTTAGTGCTTTGGGAGTTAGTGCATTGGGTGATTCCTGCAGAGCAGGTTCCAGCCTGGGTTGACAGGCAGCTGACCAGTGGCGAAACTGGTCTGGGGCTATGTACGTGTCACTTTGTGACAACCCAAAGCAAACCTGAGGATTGCAGGTGAAAGATTGACTGAGCATAGGCATAGCTGTGGGAAAAAGAAAGCTGCGGGAGCGTGAGACAGTACCTGTTTCATATGACACTTTGAGATGTACCCATGCATTGAGTTTGGCAGGCTTGGGTGTGCATGTATCATCTTTAAGTGCTTCAATGAATGCTATCATTTTGGCTCAAGTAAACTTGAACCAAAATAGCATTCATTGCTGTTTTCTTTCCCCACCCTCCCAACCCTAAGAGCCGACCTCCCGTGGAGATGTCCGCCTAGGTTAGGGGAGCCTGCAAGGCAGGCGAGTCCATAGCCTCTATCGGGGATCTTCTCTTGGGGCGACCAAGAGAGATTTACCCTCCCTTACGTTTAAGGGATGGGTGATTCCTGCAGAGCAGGTTCCAGCCTGGGTTGCCAGGCAGCTGACCAGTGGCGAAACTGGTCTGGGGCTATGTACGGGTCACGTTGTGACAACCCAAAGCAAACCTGAGGATTGCAGGTGAAACTGACTGAGCATAGGCATAGCTGTGGAAAAAGAAAGCTGCGGGAGCGCGAGACAGTATCTGTTTCATATGACACTTTGAGATGTTTGTATATATTTGTTATGTTGTTTTCTTTACGCTTTGTCTGAGATGTAAATTTCCATTGGCATTTTTCGCCCATTTTGGGATTCCCATTGTGGGATGATCGCACCACATCACCACATCCCATGACCTGAGGTGCTTTAGCGGAAGCCAATGACGCCCAGCGAGTCCAGATGATGGAAGCACGTTTGGACACTTGGCGAGTTGCATAAACCCGCCCAGTTGTGGGAAAAGGATCGAAAAGGATGTTAAGCTGCTATATAAATCATGAATTTTGGCGATATCCTATTTTCGGACAAAGCAAGAAGTGTCAACCAAAGATAGTTACTTCGTCGTACATGTAGCAGGTGGAACAGCAACAAACCCAATCTTTTCTAGTACGCTTATCAAGGTAAGGTCCAGATGTCACTGCAAGTTTTCCGACACTTCAGATTTTAGCAGCCAACCATACCCAACCATACCCAACCATACCGAACCATACCTAACCATACCCAACCAGCAATCACCATCAATCACCCAGGATCTTGAGAACGGGGCGGATCTCAATAACGGCGATACCTTTGGCGAAGACTGGGCGCTCCAGTCTTGGAGCTATCAGGATGCGGTGGCAGCGAACCAGCGCCTGGCCAGTAGCTCCTATCACCCGGTGCAGATGCAATGGACGCGAGATGAGGGCAACTTGACACCAAGAACCATAAGAAACCGGACAGATTCGATTTTCCATGATTTTCCTATAGATTTCTTCGAAATTCAACCATATTCAACCTTTCAAAACATCTTCCTGCCTAAAACCTGTGTTCTGGTGGCTTCTTCGCACGGGGTGTCTTCAATAAACTCATGAACTCAATCATCAAGAAGTCCAGTCCATGAATATATGTATATATAAGTTATATAAGTGACATCAGTGCGGAGGTTTATAAATTTTGAGGTCCTGATCGCCTGAGGTTTGGCTCAGTTTTTTCAGCCTTTGGTCCTTCAGTGAGGATCCAGTTTAAAACTGCTGCGGCGGATCTCGGTTGAGCACCTGTGTGCACAAAGGAAAAGTTGTTGCAGCCAAATTGATAGATCTGTGTTTTTTTTATGGTTTTGGTATATTTTGCAACCACTGTGCTGTGAACTTCAAAATTGCTGAATGTTCCTTTGTTGCATGTTACTTCCAGTGTGCTCTTGCGTATATGTAGTATATCAGTATATCTCTCCTTTCCGGTCCTAGGCGCGCAGGGTACAAAGCCTGAATGCGCAAAGAATTCAGACCTGTGATGAGTTGTGCATATTGCATGACATGACTCAGATTCAGTACTGACAGCGGCTTCACAGCCTGGGATATCCTAGCGGTCCAAATCATTCCAAATCCATACTATAGTGAACACGTGAAAAAGACGACACGCTTTTCGCACATTTTGCATTTGCCTAATTTGCTTCATGCCAGTACTGGGTCGAGTATAGTTTCGTTCGCGGTTGCTGCAAGGGAATCCTTGTGGCTGAACCAATAGTTCGCCATGGTGCTTGAAAGTGTCATGGGCCCTTTGCCCCCAATAGCAATGCCTTCACCACCGAATCCGAGAAAATCCCAGAGCGTGTTTTCGATCGACCAATTCCCGCCGGGCACAATGACATGCAAATCTGGTTTTTTTTTCCAAGTTATGAAGCCCGGCCCCCCAAAATTCGCATGGACGGTTGATGGGTGGTTGAATACTGAGGAATCACATAAAACATCATAAAACATCATAAAACATCATAAAACATCATAAAACAACAAGAATTCACTAAGAATTCACTAAGAATTCAAGAAGTCTAGGCCCATTGGTAGCCTACTTTGGGTCACCATTCACCATCGCCATATGGACATTGCTCTGGAGAGGCTGGAGGACAAAACTCACATGGTGTTGCCAGGCTGGGCAGCAGGAGATCAAAATTGGTTTGTTACGGGTGTCACCAAAATCGAAAGCAGATGCACTGCGGATCTTTCAATGATCAATTCAATCAATTCACAAACTCATGATGGGTGTTTTTTTTTTTTTTGTTTTTCCCATGTTTTTCCACTTTTCCCTTGGCGTTTGTAGAGATACGAGCACTTCACAATGATGTCAATCGTTGAGAGTTGAAGTTCGCATATGCTAGCCACAACTTGACAGATGAATCAGATGAATCAGATGAATCAGATGAATCAGATGAAGGAAGTTACACATAGTTACACCATGTTGGAGACTTTCCAGTTTACTCAGTAAACACGAACACAGAGAACACAGACACCCACCCGAGGGCTTTTTTTTTGAGCAGGCCCACAGCAGCCATTGGTGGCACCAAGGCGCCTGTGTTCCATCTGAGATGCTGGCGGCAACTAGGGCAAGTAGGGCCCTGTGGGAGCCAAAAAGCGCATAACATGCCTAGGTGATGAAAGTTGTACATGTTTGAATCATATTTGCGTTCATTTCATGCAGATGTATTTGCACACAATATGCATGCGATCGCATTTGTTTTCCCTTTAATGTTAGGGATCCACGCGCATTTACATGAACGAGTATGATACATGACGTCACATTACACTGCCCATACATTTCACTACATCATTGCACTCCGTCCCATCAATCCATGCAAACAGCAATCTGTGCCTACATAGATTGGGTACATCGAATACGCATTGATACATAGACGAATCGATCGACGGAAACATAGGAAAGCAGGCTCAGTGGAAGCATCCATCAGCAGCGTGAAAGACTTCGAAGAACAAAAGGTGTCGAACTCCCACAGGGCAATGAGAAACTGATCTCCAAGCCATAGCGCACTTTGAAGACTCTGTTTTCGAAAGTAAAACACCAACGATAAGATTGTTCTTAGCTTGTTATTCGATTTTTTAAAGAATACTTTTATTCGGTCGTTATTAGATTGTTTTGCTGTTGTACCAGCACGTAGATCGTTGATGATCATTACATATTATTGCATATTATTGCATATTATTGCTTTTGAGCCCCTGGAAACTCCGAGATGGACAAGCAGCTGTGGCCAAGAGCCGGACAAAGTTCCAAAAACAGAGAGGATCAGATTCTGCGATTGCTAGGACTTGCAATGCAATCCCGAAAACTCGGGGTAGCTTTGGAACTGGGAGCTGCGACAATGGCAGACAAAGGAGAGCAAGTAGATGGAAGCAGCGGGCCACTGAAACGTTGTGGAAATGCAGAGAACCAACCATTTCAACCCTTCCACCTGGAAAGGGCAAGCTGAAGATAGCTCGAGTCTATAGGGCCATGAGAGGGAACCTGATTTTGTTGGTATTTGTTATTGCGATTTATTGCTATTCATTGCTATTTGTTGCTCCATATTTCCTTGCTCTGAGTGGCACAGCCCCCCTTCCCATCTTCTCTGCCTTGGACGCCGTTGCTAACAGCATTTAGAAATCGTAGACGCCTTTGGACGCCTCCATTCGCCTCCTGAGTCGCTACGATGGCAGGCCGCTCGATGGGTTTTCTGAGATATCTACAGTATATATTGGTGGGATTTGATGTTGCTTGTGGCCGCAAGATCTTGAAGTCCATGGTGACATAGTGAGATGAACCTTGTGAACCTGTCTTTGATTTCTTCTTCTCATGCTTCTACTCATTCTGCTTGAGAATAATAATATTATCTTCAAATCTTTGGCTTTGAAGGTTGTTTGGCTTCTTTGTCTTGAATGGCCCTTGAATGGCTTGGGTAATCCATAGTACTTACTTCAAAGCGTGCCGCAGGTGTTGGTGGTTGCGCAGGGGTCTGTTGCTTGGCGAAGGGGCGCGATTTGGTGTTTTTTTTGTCACCTAGATATTTTATTAATTTTAAGAATCCCCTGCCCCCTTATTCTAAATATATCCAAATACCCCAAGTAGAAACCCTGGTTTGGCATTAGATCTATTCATTCTTGGAATACAAGAGTTGAGATGAATTGAGAAGAGCTGAGATGAGCTCAGAAATGTCAAGAGAGAGGGAGACAGGTGAATCAATGAAAGAAATGTCAAGAGTTTGGTTTGCCTTATAGGTTTTAGTTTTGGAAACTTCCGCCCCTGGCTTGCCGGGGCACTACTTGTATTTGGGGATGGGGGATGGGATGATTTGTCCTACAAAAGTTGAAGAGCTTGAATGGTCAAGGGTTGAGAATGCGCAAATTCGACGTTTCGGACACTGCAGGGGTGGGTTTCAATGGGTTTGTCAATAGGGCATCACAGGTTAGTTCAGACATTACCAGATAGGCCTTGTTCAGTGAAATCCAAATGCGAACAAGGCATCAGCAGTTGTGTTTCACTAGGCTATGAAGTCGATGAAGAAGCTGTCAAAGTCGAAGAGCGTTTGGTGTCACCCTCAGCAAAGGCATGTGAGATTTTAGGTATTCAGCTACGCAAGCATTCGATGGTTTGACACTACAAGTGGACAACGTTTGTGGGCCCAGGGATCATGAGATTTTCGACGAATTTGACCATCCACGATGTTTTTTTTGAATTTGGTGGCTACTGGCTCCCTTTCCGCAGGAATGTCTGACCCCAAACAATACTTGCATGTAGAATGAGGCCTTCGTTGGAGCAGGTGTGGGAACGCTGAACACTGAGAGTTACCTGTGGTTCTTGTGAATCAGACATTTGAAGAATTTCGAGTGGCTCTGGAGGGAATCAGAAGCATTTTCTGGCAGGAAATGGCAGCTATCAGCAGGTTTCCAACATGGAAATGGTTGGTAAAGGGTGGCGCTGGCATTGTGATTAAGTTGACCGACAGTGATGATTGGGGTTTGCGGAGGGTTGTGGTTTGGCTTGGAAATCGACAATTTCGAGCACAGCGAAAAACGGTTTCTTTTTGGCTTTTGACATTTTTATCTTGAGCTGCAAAACAGCAAGCATTCAGATAAAAATTGTTTGAGTAGGACAATCAACCCCAGATAGACTTCAAAATTCCATAAAATTCCCACATCCCTTCATCCCCGCTGTGGGTCAAACCGAAGCTAGCACTTTTAGAGACTTGGCAGGCGCGGTGATTTTGAGAAGGAGCAAGTTGTTGTCGCCACAGGCGCAGCTGAAAAGTTGCTGCTTCCATGTTGCCAGCTTACGTTTGAATGAAAAAGCATGAACAACTGCGTATTCCTGAAAACCGGGCTTCTCCTTTAGTGTTTAGTATTGCAGTGTGTCTATTCTGGAATTGCGATCCTGCGATTTGTAACCGCTCGTCGAATTGTGGTGCCAGTTGAAAGTTGGCCACTCGCAGCGTAGCAGTGTGCGATGCATGGCTGCTGCAAGTCTTTTTTTTTGCTTTGCTTTGTGGGCCGCTCTTTCTCTCACCACTGTGTGACAAGGATCTCTGATTTGAGTACTGATGTGCTTCCAAGCATGATTGAGTCTGACAACGTTCGAGTGTTGAGGAAAGGTTTGATTTGGTCATTCCCTCCATACCATGCTGGACTGTTTGTGCTGAGCCCCGGGCGACAGGCTACAAGTCCGGGTCCAAGATGAAATGTGAGCAGACAACAGACTGGCAGTGATGACGGAGAATCAGGGTTTTGAAATCAATCAATGGATTCTGTGGATCTTCAAGGGACAAAATATCATCTTTGTGGTGGTCGGGTTTTCATCCATTTTGCGTCCCCCCGCCCCAGTATCCCCAGTTTCATGCCCTTGATGTGGGTCAAAGTCTTGGTACCTGCCCAGTGACTATAAAGTGATGAAAGTGTTTGATTTTGGCCCATAGTCCCCCCAATCCTCATGGTCTATCATCTATTTGCCTTCAAACTGATTTTGGGGTACACGTATACCCATGTATACCCTATTTTGTAGCCATGGCCATATCCCATTGTTGATCAAATCCCCTTCTATCTCATTATCTTCCTTTAAAATGAACAAAACCGTCCAATATCTTTGAGGTAAGCCATCAATTTGCCAAACTGTTGAGGTTGAACACCGCGGTTTGCGGTGGCTGCGCGTTCCTTTTCGTTTTGGGCATTTTCCTGCTTTTGGGCTTTGGCAACAGTTGGTGGCAGCCGGCCTATGACATGCCCGTTGGCATGTCACCGATGACAGCAGCTTGGCGGCAGATACAACATGGTATAATTAACTGGGGCTCCAGATGTGTGTGCATAGTGTGAGCATGGACATAGAGCACATATTAATACGATGAACACGTGTGTCTGTGTGACATGTGTAATTATAGATTTAGAATTCTATCAAATTGCATCTTATTTGGATAGAATTGTGTAATTATAGATGAATCTCTATATATATATAAGTATATATATATATCTAAGTATATATATATAAAAGTATATATATATAAGTATATATATATAAGTATATATATATATAAGTATATATATAAATAAGTATATATAATATATATAATATATATATATAATATAATATATATATAAGTATATATATAAAAGTATATATATATACACTGAATGTAGTGTTTCTTTTCTGTCAGTAAGATCCGATTGCGATACGCCAACCCAGAAAGTGTGGTTAAACACTGATGAACCATTGGTAGGTAGGATTTGTATAGGTATCGTCCATTGTGGTGGCTGATTCTTCAGACACCAGCCTCCAAGGAGTGCTCTTTGCTCACAGCCCGAGCAGATACTTGGCACAATCTCCGTGGTTGACCCCAATTTTGGGCAGTTCATATGAGATGTTCCCAAGTTCGGGATGTATAAAAATAGTGTATTTGGGTATCCCAATTTCATCCACTGCTGAATCATTGATTCCCCATATTTTCCCAATGTTCCACCAGGCAGTCAGTAGTTGTGCCCAGCTGTTGGTCCAACGTGGCTGAGACCTTGGCTGAGAAGAACTTGTGCTGCGACCAGGCACACAATGGCGACATCGCACACGTCGTCACGTAGACGGTCAGTGCAACGGTTTGTAACCCCTGTTTTGCTGTGAGTGCAATGTCAGTGTATGCCTTTCATAATCGGGTCAGAAGCTGGACAGCAAACTCTGCTGAATCAGTTCGCCAAGCGTCATATTCGTGCAGTTCCTGAGGTTCTCTGCCTTGTTTTGCACTCTGGTTGGGAACAACTTTATAAGGATACGCTTTTCATTTAAGAAGTTGTACAAGTCACTTATGATTGTTAAATTACATTACTGTAAGGTTATTAATTCTACAACTTCAATATATATATATATACATATATATATAGTTATATATATATAGTTATACTGTATATATATATATATGTATGTATAGATGGTTCACAAACATTGACCACCATTCATGGGCTGCACCAAAAACCTGCGCAGGGCTTCAAGGAGTTCTGCCATAAAGAAGTGATCCGTGAGGTCGACCAGTGACCCGGCGGCGGTGAACCGCGGTGACAGCCTGGTGAAGGGAACACCTTGCTGAAGCGCATTACATCCTTAAGCATACTCGTTTTTTTTTCTACAATATATATATTATATTATATTATATTGTATTGTATTGTATTGTATTATATTATATTATATCATATTATATTATATTATATTATATTATATTATATTATATATATACGATACACCAACAGTAACAGTTTTAAATTGCGACAGACTGGGATTTTTGTTTGGGCCATATCTCGCAGCAATCAAGGTCGGACTAGCATCCGTTGATATATTTTTATTTGTATTTGCCAAGGGTTTGACCCATATCCAAAGCGATCCAAATGATACTTAACATTGGAACGACCCAGCCCTGAAGAATGATGACGTATGATCATTGATGATTGCAGCATGTATGGATGGAGGTTTGCCATGTTGAAATAATTCAATGTATTGAATGTGTTGCAGATTGGTGGATGGAGCTGTGTTTTCGGAGCGGACCAGAGCCTGAGGTACATGTACAACGTGAAGAGCCTTGTCGTTATCGCAATTTGATGTGGAGTTTTTTAAAGTTCAATGTCCCAGTTCTACATAGAACGGATTTGATATGTGCTTCATTGTGTTCCAGGAATGTGAAAGTGGATCGCATGGTGCCCGTGCCAATCGCTCCTCCTCCACGTCAAGTGATCACGTCCCTGAACAACAGAGAGACATTAGCTGATGAGGAGAAGGAAACTTTTGCCAAGGTCTGTGCTCCAAATGATCTCTTTTGCCCTCTGTTCTGGTGCCACTCAATACCAGGCAGCTTTGTTACTCTGTTATTTATATTTATTTAATTTATGTTGTTATTTCTTCCAAATGTGAGAATGACTCACATTTGTTGACTGAGGCATAAAGTCTTGGTGCATACTGATGCCTTTGACTGTGACGAAGGTGCGTGTTTCGTCTTTGCAATGCAGGGTACGCACAATCGAAACTGACTCAGTCCACGGCTATGAGAAACTGGACCAACTGGATGAGTTTTGGTGGTGTGAAGTGTGAACGCATTGAAATCATTTGAACTGTGGTGTTTAGTTTTCTTGCAGCATTCCATTTACCACTGATGTGCTGCAAGGTCTCTACAACATGCAGCACACCTGGTCGGCTGAGCATTCTCGATATTGCTGCTACAAACGTGAAATTGGCTGCAAGACCAAGGCGAGTGACGCGAGTGACGTGAGTTAGCGTGCTGCTTGGGGTCAGGCTCTTTTAATCAACTCGACTTATTGTTTGAGTCAGCGGCGGCTTTGTCTGCTGACCTGCATTTTTGCGCATTGTCAACTGCACCTCTGTCTGTGGACCCGCTTGCTTTTTGCCGAAATTATGCCTTTGTGTAGAGAAACCCTCGCATCCATTGGTGTGCAGGTGCTGTATCGGTCGCTTGGACAGATTCTTCTGCTTCCCTTTCCCCTGATCTTGGTAAGTATAGATTAAAATTTCATTGTGAACCGACCCTCCAACGTTCGGGCTATGTAGATCTAATTTATTCTACTTTCACATACATCAGCGCAATCAAATATTTTGCTCATTGGGTGATATTGTTTACCAAGTTCTTAGTCGAAATCATTTCAGCACCGCAAAGAGGGGTGCCCCCTCTGAGGCCGCACTACCACACCATCACGAGGACACGGGCTGTCCCAGTGCACGTGCCAGTGCCAATCCCGGCCCCTCCTGCGCAAGTGATCACCCATGTGGAGAACGTGCCAATCCACGATCCACCAGCTGTCATCAAGGTGCCAGAGCGCGGACCAACCCATGTGGCAACTTGACAAATGTTGGATTGCTGACCTTGCCTAGGGTCCAATGATGTCCAATGATGTCCAATGCAAAGGTACAAAAACTTTGGCGCCACCTTGAATCTTTTTGAAGTCTGAAGTGTTCTGAAGTGCACTTTCTGAAGATCTCGATGGATGCATCTTTACATTCTGTCTCCAACTGTTCTGTTTCCAGTTGCTCCAGCTCCATCTCAGGTGCACCGCTACGTCCACGAGAAACATTATGTCCCAGCGCCTGTTGCCAGTCCACCTGAATATCACCATGTGCCAGTCCCTGTTCCAGTGCTGGACCCTGGCCAGGTGCTTCCATTGTTTTGCTAGAAAACGTCAGATGGAGACGGACTCGGTGGATAAGAGTGGAATATAGAATGTATAAGTGATGATCTCGTATGAGCCACAGTCAAAAGATGGACATGCAAGGAATTTATATACCCATTGCAAGGATTCCCATGGGATGGATGACGATACCCTATATATATATAATTATATATATATATACACAAATATACACTATATATACTATATATACTATATATACTATATAGACTAAACCTTCTTTTGAGTATCATTTCAGTACATAGCTTGCCCTTATTGTAAATTTACAGTACTTTCAGTCATGACCGCCATCCATTCGCACCTTGAACGCCCTGAATGGAGGTGATCAAAGTGCCATCGCCCTTGCCAGCACAGACCATTGTCAAAAACAAGGTGTGGAGATCCTGATGTCACTGACGGCTGGGGGACCCCAACATCATCCAAGTTGGTTCTGCATAAACCAATGGCTGTACCCAAATTTTGGGAAACAGCCAGACTTGGCATGAATCACGTCGAATTCTCTTATTTGCAGAAGAATGGATGAGTTGCGAGCTACGCATGGACTTCTTGGAGTCAGAAAGTGATGGGATTTTTCAAGCTCTTCTTTGCCCGTTTCTGAACAGCAGCCGTGGGAGGGTTTCCCAGAATGAAGCATCCACTTCCAAGGATGGTCAAGGTCTTCCCTGGGCTTAGGTGCTCTACAAGACCCGACACATTGCCGTGAAACACGTCTATGACTGCTCCGCTGGCTTCAGCAACTGGATCTTTGGCCAAGTTGTGAGCCATCCAATTCACTGCGCTTGATCTTCCTTTCCTGGTTGGTGGTTTTAATCTATTTGCTGCCTGGGATGACGATCCCAAGTGACCAAACACTGAGGATGAGCGGCTGGTCTTCCGACAAGAAGAGCTGGTGCTGTGCACACGAAACCCGCGGTTGCCCAGGTAGGATACCATGACATGGCCAGGGGGTTGCAGGGAATCGCCAAGATGCGGGGAGGTTTTAACAAGACTACAGCAACTAAAAAGGGTTAGCAAGATCTGAAGTTTTTTTCAAATTTCAAATAAGAAAACTTCAACATGGTAGTTGGAGATCATTTCTTCCAAAAGTCATGACGTTCGGTCCTTGTTTGTCCGTCACCCGGTCACCCTGTTCGTGGGTATGGAAGCTGACAGGTGACCAGTCTGGGCATCTGACCAAGACGGTGGTCACTGGCGTCACGGAGCATGAGGGCCCCACCTATTACCATCATGCGCACGTCTATGATGGCAGCTATGAGGATGGCACGGCCTCTTGTCGCGCTAAGAAACGTGTCCCATGGTTCTACACCAAGAGTTGGCTGAGAGTTGTGGATTGTGGAGTAGAAACAAAGAAGAAAAATACACCGAATCCGAATGCTCTTGGATTCCATTTGAGGATCCAAACATGGATTATCCAGGATTATCCCGTCCACCGAAGTGGCCATTGTAATATGGAGATGATATGGAGATGATATGGAGATGATCAAGCATGAAGTTTGGAGGAACCCAGGTTTTGAGACACGTGGTTTCCAAGACCAGGATTCCCAGCACGGATTCCCGAGGTGATTCACCACGGAGGCACATCGGCTATTTGCCACATCCAGCTACTGTATTTTCTATTCGGATCCTATTAAGGGGAGGGGAGAATGATTCAAAATGATGCTCAATAAAAGCAAAATAACACAGACATAAACCAGATAAAGCATTAAATAGCATTAACTAGCATCAAATACATATTTAATTGCCTTCTGCAAGCCTGCCGGCCCATAGAAAGGTAGGTCGTTGACCGTAATTATACCAAATGAGTACCGCCCCCAGCAAAGTAGCGCCAGGTACTATGTACGGGCCTCTGGCTTGACAACAGATGGCTGCATAGAAGGGGACAGGGTGGAAGCGGAGAGAGGTTGCCCCAACGGAGGTTAGAGAGAAGCAGAAGATAAGAGGAGAAGAAGAGGAGGAGGAAGAAGAGGAAAAAGAGGAAGAAGAGGAAGAAGAAGAGACGAAGACAGAGCCGTAGATCAGAAGCATTATACAAGGAATTCTTTTACAGTGCTTGGGCTGTAGCAGCAGTAGTAGCAGTAGTAGGCGTAGTAGCAGTTGTAGTAGCAGTAGGAGTAGGAGTAGGAGTAGGAGTGTGGGAGGGGTAGAAGTAGGAGTAGGAGTAGGGGTAGGAGTTGGAGTAGGAGTGGGAGGAGGAGTAGTAGTCGTAGTGTAGTGGTCGTGGTAGTGGTAGTGGTAGTGGTAGTAGTAATGGTGGTGGTGGTGGTTGTCGTAGTAGTAGCAGCAGCAGCAGTAGTAGTAGTGGTAGTAGTAGCAGTAGCAGTAGCAGTAGCAGTAGCAGTAGCAGTAGCAGTAGCAGTAGCAGTAGCAGTAGCAGTAGCAGTAGCAGTAGCAGTAGCAGTAGTAGTAGTAGTAGGAGGAGGAGGAGGAGTAGTAGTAGTAGTAGTAGGAGCAGCAGCAGCAGCAGTACTATATAATACTAGCCGGAGTAGGAGTAGGGAGCAGGAGTTGGAGTAGGAGTAGCAGCGCTAGTATTGAGATGTATTGAGAGGGGGAAGGGGACGGGGGGACGGGGGGTGGATTCAGTTCAGATGAAGCAAAGACGCGTAGCAGCGTAGCAAAACAAGAAAAAACCAAGTACAAAGCAAGAACAGAACAGGAACAACACCTTCCAGTCAGACACACCGGCGGGCCGGCGGATTACAAAATATTACAAAAACAAAGCAGACAGATCCCGCAGGTTCTTGGGCAGCTGATGCAGTGGATGGTGGAGTCATCTCTGGGGACGCTGGAGTGATCTCCGGAAGCTCCGGAAGCTTCAGTCCCGGACTAAGGGGCCAACAAAAATGGGTGCAAAAGACAATGCGGTTCAAAACAGTGGAGTTTCATTCATTTTGTCTTGAAAACACGAAACCTCTTTGTTTGGAAACAAAAACGCTGCTGGAATCGGATGTAACTAAGTTCATAACAGAGGACTTCGCAAAACGCTCAAATCGAGGCAAAATATATCAACAAAACTCCCAGCCATGATCAATGCTGAGGCCATGTGTCTTCATCTTGGCTGCACGACCGAGACTTGAAGGATGTGACTCTGCAATGAATTTGGCCTGCCGGCCTGAGCTATAACAAGGGACACACCAATGGATTTTCATACATTTCCATTGTCTCTGACAGCAGGTTGCAGAACATAGACACAGGCAAGCAACCCAACCATCCGCATATTGGTTAGAGTTGGGCAAGTCGTTCAGTAAACCGCAAGAAAGAACGTGTCAGTAGCGGGGTAGCAAATTCAATGACCACCAGTCAGAAAGTGTATCCATGGTGAGCCAAGGGAAAGGAGAAGAAGAAGGATTCAAGGCGATTGCAGATGGTCGGCGGCGATGTGACTTACGGAGGAAGCTACGATGGCGGGGAAGCACACATGGTCGGCGGCGATGTGACTTACGGCGGAAGCTATGATGGCGGGGAAGCACACATGGTCGGCGGCGATGTGACTTACGGCGGAAGCTATGATGGCGGGGAAGCACACATGGTCGGTGGTGATGTGACGTATGGCGGAAGCTATGATGGCGGGGAAGCACACATGGTCGGTCGTGATGTGACGTATGGCGGAAGCTATGGTGATCAGGAGCATTCCCCCAAAATCACAAGAAACGGACATAGCATGTGCAGTCACACATCAATGAATGGATTGAGGAGATTTCCGAGGTGCCCACATCATTAATTTTTAAACAAATTAATTGATGTTATCTATATGACATTATATTCCTATCTGATCTAAATCGAAACCTAAATCTAAATCCAATCGAATCCAATCCACGTTCATTGCCCCGCGAGGACCATGTCGCGCACCACGTGATCCACCGAATTGTGCCGGTGCCATCAGCGCACCCAAAAGAGGACGTTCACACCATTGTGCGCCGTCACTACGGAACGGTCTACAGGAGCCAGGGAACTGCAGAATGGGTTGAGGGAGGGCAGGTTGATGAGACAAAGACGTTTCAATATGTGAGAGAGATTTGAAAACCATGCAATCCCACGGGACACGAAACAGTGCGTGGGTTTACCCAATGCTTGAACGCTTCAACTGCATCCAATCCCCTTTCGAACCGTCAGGAAGATTCCTGTGAATCACTATGCACCACAGCTGAATTGGTGATAGACTTTAGGAAATTAGGAACGTGGAGAGAGGAAGTGAATAACATTCAGGCAGACTTTGAACATTGCACTATGACAAAACTACAACTATTGCAAGATGTCAGCGGACTACAGAATTACAGAATTCTAAGAAACTGCTGACTTGAGAGCAGCTTGATCATGTGTAGCATCCAAAAAATGCCTAGGTGAAAGTGCAGATGCCTCAAAAGCCACCCATCATCCACACTGTGCACATCCAGGCAGGTTGAGGGGTTGAGGCGCCCAACAGCAGGGATGCAGATGTTTTTTTCAAATCCGTGGC